TTAATTTTTTTGAGGAATTACCATATCATTTTCCACTGCATCTGCACCATTGTATATTCCCATTAGCAATAATGTACAAGGTTCCAATTTTTCTACATCCTTTCCAACACTTGTTTAGTATGAGACTTTTTTCCTCTAATAGCTATCCTAATGGATATGAAGTAGCATTTGATTGTAGTTTTGATTTGCGTTTACCTGATGACTAGCGATATTGATCATTTTTAAATGTGTTTATTAGCCATCTGTGTAACTTCTTTGGAGAAATGTCTATTTAAGCCTTTTGCCCATTTTAAAATCAGGTTGATTTCTGTTACTGTTATGAGTTCTTTATATTCTAGATATCAATTGTTAATCAGATGCATGACTTGCAAATATATTCTCCCACAGTGTGGATTGCCTTTCCACTCTGTTGATAGTGTCCTCTGATATATACATAAGTTTTTAATTTGGATAAACTCTGACTTACCTATTTCTTCTTTTATTGCTTGGTTTTTTGTTTCATATACAAGAAATAATTGCCAAATCCAATGACATGAAGTTTTTCCCCTATATTTTCTTCTAGAATTTGAGGCTTAGCTCTTATGCTTAGATCTTTAATTCAATTGAGTTAATTTTTTGAGCATAATTCTCATACATTATGTTTTTTGTAATTTTAGTGCAAGGTGAGGGCCCAACTTTGTTTTTTGGCATGCAGATATTTAGTTTTCCAGTACCATTTTTTGATTGCCCAAATTTACTGCCCGCAGGCAGTTTCTAAGCCAAGCACAAGGAAGGAAATAAAAGGAGAATGTGGCTATCTCACTGAATTAAGACTGAGATCAGAGCTGAGGAGGCAAAAGTAGCTAGAATTTGCAGGGCAGAATACCAATGAGGGAGATGTTGCATAGGAAAAGAGATCTGGAAATTTTCAGTCTTTGTGCTGAGGACTGATCTGTGTAAGCATGTTTGTTCTGAAATTCCATAAAACCAAGTAAAAAAAAACACCAAATACCAGTAGGCCAAACAATTAATTCATTGCATTTACAAAGGATTAGGAATAGTTCACTTTGCCACTGTCTACAGTGAAGAGACCTCATAATACACATGACATTAAGTAGAATCCTCAGGAAAAAATGGAAAGTTTAAAAATGGCACTAAATTAGCCCTACTGTAAAGGCTGTTCTTGAACCAGTCTAACAAAACTTAAAAGCAAGCATAGGCCTGGGAGCAGTGGCTCATGCCTGTAATCCCAGCACTTTGGGAGGCCGAGGCAGGCAGATCACAAGGTCAGAAATTTGAGACCAGCCTGGCCAATATGACAAAACGCTGTCTCTCCTAAAAATACAAAAATTAGCCTGGCATGGTGGAGGGTGCCTGTAGTCCCAGCTACTTGGGACGCTGAGGCAGGAGAATCACTTGAACCTGGGAGGCGGAGGTTGCAGTGAGCACCTGCACTGCAGCCTAGGTGACAGAGCGAGAAGACTTTGTCTCAGAAAAAAAAAATGATCATGGAAAATATCAAACTCAAACTGATCTGCAACTACTTTAACTTTGTGTGAGGATATGGTTTAAAACTCTTTGAAGGAATGCAACTGGTATGGTTTGGCTCTGTGTCCCCACCCAAATCTCATCTTGATTTATAATCCCCACTTGTTGGAGGGACCTGGTGGGAAGTGATTGGATAGTGGGGGTGATTTCCCCCAGGCTGTTCTCATGATAGTGAGTTCTCACAAGATCTGATGGCTTAAAAGTGTGGCACTTCCTCTCTCTCTCTTTCTCTCTCTCTGCCCTGCTGCCATGTAAGACATGCCTTGCTTCGCTTTCACCTTCTGCCATGACTGTAAATTTCCTGAGGCCTCCTCAGCCATGCAGAACTGTGAGTCAATTAAATCTCTTTTCTTTATAAATTACTCAGTCTCAACTCGTTCTTTATAGCCATGTGAAAACAGACTAACAAAGCAATCAAACTCATAACTTAACATCACAAAACTTACAATATCTGTCATCTAATGGGCAATTATCAGATCTATAAAAAGGCAACATAACCCATAACCAGGAAGAAAAAAATCAATAAATGAATGCATACTCCAAAATGACAGAAGTAATAGAATTTTCATGTGAAAACCTTAGCACAGCTAAAATATTACAAATATATTCAAAATGTAAAAAAAAAAAAGGCAAATCAGAGAAATAGAAAGCTACAAAAGAGGCCCAAATGTAACTTCTAGAGATGAGAAACACAGTGTCCAAATGAAAAATATGTCACTATTGTTAAGAAAACAGCCTCCTCACTTTTAGTTAGCAGTTCCCTCACTTTTAGTTGGGAAACATATGATTCGGAATTCTTGAATGACTTAACTAGCACTTTATTATCAGAAGACTATTAGTTGGAAACATCTTTCCTGTATTCTCCAGTCTTAAGGGTTCTTTTTTCCTATATTTTGTATATTTTTCTATATTTTTAACAATACTTCGTACAAGACTTTGAAAGAGTCCAAGATTCAACAAATGAACTTCTCCAGATTAGTTTTTGATAGAACACTGCAGATGGCTAAGATGTGATACAAGTAGAGTAGTTAAAATATTGCTAGAAATACTTTGTTTGCCTTCCCTTTAGTTGTGGAACTCCATCTATTATAGCCATAAGTTCCATCTGAGTCTATTTACTCCTGGCTCATTTGGGAAGAAGAGTCAATAAAATAGTGTCTATAACCAGAGCAGTCTTCAGAGTAAAGGAAAAGTGGTGCCTGCTCTGTGTAACAATTACTGTTAGTTGTTACAATCTTGGAAAAGTTTTATGTATTTACTAATCTCAGTTTACATATATTCATTAATAACATAGCAGAAGCTCTGAGAAAAATTTTTTAAAAGACTGGTTTTGAGAAAGTATAGCCCCAGACACTTTTGATGCAAATGTTTGATTGAATACAAGTGATTCTTCCTCAGACTTTTTTGTCACCAACTATATATGTACTGACTCTAAATTTTGGACCTTCCATGGAATAACATATAGCAAATATGGGTAGTTATAAATCTTGATAATGTGCCTTTCTTCAGATATGAATATGAAAACTGCTGAGGCTGGAGCCAGCAGACGTGGCTCTAGAAAAGCTATAAATACCATCTCATCTTGGTTAAATCTTTTCCTTCCTCTGCATCAGTTGCCTACCTATAAAGTGAGATGATATGATGACTTTGTAATGTGTAATGTGTCAATTTAGGTAGAATTAACTACAGTCTCCAAAATTCCCTTTGTAGTATATTTCCAGTTAGGGTGAGATACAAAGGATAAGATATTCCCTCTCTTTTGCGAATTAGAGAATGGATAGGACAGTCATTCTGTAGCACACACACAAACACATTCTACCAGTTGGTCAAACACTAATCTCTGAATAATGACAGAAAGAAATTTTGTATATATAATTAAAGTCCCTAAACAATTGACTTTAATCAAAAAGATTATCCTGAGCTAGGCGTCTGACAATCAGATAAAAGCTCACTAGACAAAGAAAATGTGGCATATATACACCATGGAATACTATGCAGCCATAAAAAAGAATGAGTTCATGTCCTTTGTTGGACCTGGATGAAGTTGGAAACCATCATTATCAGCAAACTAACACAGGAACAGAAAACCAAACATCGCATGTTCTCACTCATAAATGAGAGTTGAACAACACATGGACACAGGGAGGGCAACATCACACACCAGGGCCTGTTGAGGGTGGGGGACAAGAGGAAGGACAGCATTAGGACAAATACCTAATGCAGATGGGGCTTTAAAAACCCAGATGATGGGTTGATGGGTGCAGCAAACCACCACGGCACATGTATAACTATGCCTGTGGTGTTCCAGCTGGCTCACACATATACATACACATTCACACACACTGGTGCTATTCTGATTGAACCCTGATTGATATGAGTTTAAGTTAGTTAACACCTGAGTTCCTTATTTCTTCTATTCAGGTATGTATGTGCATGTGGTGTCTCACGGATGAACTATTGATTCTTCATTAGCCTGTAAACAAAGCAAACAAAGGTATCTAGATCAAACTGGCTATGAATGCAAATTTTTCTTCCTCTCTCTGTCAGTTGCCTCACTGCCACCATGCATCATAATTCTAATCTTATCAAAGATGAAATAGCTGTAACTAAGATTGGGCACTATTAGATTGAGGAGGTGCTGACCTATGAAACAACACATATGTCAGTAAGTTAAATTGCTCTATGCAGTATGTTTTCGTTGTGCTTTATAACTGTCACTAGAATCTTCTACTTTGAATCGAATGTATTCAATAAAAGGAAATGAGAAAAGTAGTTATTTTCCTGATCCATTCATTATTTTCTTATGCTATTTGGTGGGATACCTTACCTGTATAAGACACATATCCACGTTTTAAATATACTTGGTTATTTTCCTAATCATTTCCAAAAGTCTGTTCATTGTTGGGCATAGAAGGTTTCTTCCAAAAATAAAGACAATAATAAAAGACTGGATCACGAGGTCAAGAGATCGAGACCATCCTGGTCAACATGGTGAAACCCTGTCTCTACTAAAGATACCAAAAATTAGCTGGGCATGGTGGCGCATGCCTGTAATCCCAGCTGCTCAGGAGGCTGAGGCAGGAGAATTGCCTGAACCCAGGAGGCAGATTGCGGTGAGCCGAGATCACGCCATTGCACTCCAGCCTGGGTAACAAGAGCGAAACTCTGTTTCAAAAAAAAAGACAAAATTTCTCTTGGAATCTTTTGGAATATAATAAATAACACTAAACTGTTTAAGTTTTAACATTTTCTGAATTTAAAAATAATGAGAAAATTTAATCTTAGAGTCAGGCTAGACTTAATTTCTATGACTTATGCCACTGGCTATTTCAGAAAATAGGTTTTCAAATAGTAAGGTTATCTGAGTTCAGGTAAAAATAAACACATAATGGATGTGAAATTTGGTAGCAGGTGGCTTCTATTCTTCCTCCCAAAATTGTCTACTCAACAGATACTGAATGTCAAGAACTGTAAACTCTTTAAGGATGAGTTTATTTCACATGTCATCGAGCACACAATTGAAACCAGCACAGAAAACAAATACTTATTAAATTAGTATGCATTTCTTTACAAGGAAAAGTCATTAAATCACATAGTCAATATATTATCGAACTTGAGGTCAGTGTCCATCTGTAAAATGGGAACAATAATCACGACAATACCATTCAGATAATCATATTCTGAAAACTATATACGTTGTATTACAGTGAGTTTGTAAATTTTACAGTAATATATTTATCTTATAACACTTTCCCAAAATTGCTCTCTGATCTAATACAATAGAAATTTATTACAAAAGATAATTGTTCATTCTATATTCATGTAATGGATCATGTTAACAATAAAGGACAACTTTCCTTCTTATTATTTTTTTTGATTAGGTGAAGGGGAAAATATAATTTATTAAACACTATAGGATAAAGCAAGAGAAGTGTTTAGAGGGAAATTCGTAGTACTACACATATTTTAGGAAAGAAAAATGACCTAAAATCAATAATTTAAGCTTACATCTTAGGATATTAGAAAAAGAAGAGCAAACAATATCCAAAAATAAGCAGAAGAAAAATTAAAAATATGATAGAGCCGGGTGCGGTGGCTCACACATGTAATCCCAGCACTTTGGGAGGCCGAGGCAGGTGGATCACGAGGTCAAGAGATCGAGACCATCCTGGTCAACATGGTGAAACCCCGTCTCTACTAAAAATACAAACAATTAGCTGGGCATGGTGGTGCTGCCTGTGGTCCCAGCTACTCAGGAGGCTGAGGCAGGAGAATTGCCTGAACCCAGGAGGCGGAGGCTGCAGTGAGCCGAGATCGTGCCATTGCACTCCAGCCTGGGTAACAAGAGTGAAACTCCGTCTCAAAAAAAAAAAAATATGATAGCAGAAATCAATGCAGTTGAAAATAGGAAATCAATAAAGAAAAATCAATTAATCCCAAAGCTTTTTTCTCTTAATATTTTTAAAATTTTTATTTTTTATTTTACATTATGGGGAACGTGTGCAGGATGTGCAGATTTGTTACAAAGGTAAATGACAAGTTTCCTTCTTTAGTGAGCAAATCTTTCAATAAGCAAAGTACAGGTGTTCTTTGTGCTATTTTTATTTTTGCAATTTATGTTTAATGAGCAAATCTATGCAAGGTAGCATCATTCTAGATCTGGAAAGTTAAAATCTTTCTGTGTCATAGACTTACACTCACAGTTGACATCACCATTCTAGACAAAGCCTTAGCTACAACCTAAGCACTTTCTTTTAAAGGAATGCTCATAAACATCCACTCTTCTGGGTCTAGAGCCAAGCCCAAAAATAACAAGGTCAGATGGCCATGCTCAGAAACAAAGTAAAATCAGACTTGAAGAAATATGCTGTCAATTTCCCTGTATTCCAACCTGCTGTGCTTGATTTTAATACTTCTTTTATCAAGGTGATTCTGGAAGAATCTGACTGAGGACCACACCCCAAATCTCTTTCCCCATGTAACTACACTCTGCTATTTTTTTCAAGATAGGTGTTTATTAATATATATATTTTATTTTCTGATGTTCAAGACAATGTAACGGTAAATTGACAAATGGGACTGGTCAGAGTTTTCTTAGGTACAGTTTAATTCTTAATATAAAAAGTAAACAGATTTATAAGAAACATTCTAATAAATACATCACCATGATTTTTAAAAATAATTCCTTTGTCTAGAGTTCTTGATAAAGTACTGTTACAGAGGGTTTTTAGGAATTTTTTAATTTTTGAAGTGAAACTGTATGTACATACTTTTAGCATGATAGTAGGCTTATAAGTAAGGTATTTTAAAGTAAAGCTTTCAAGGAAAGTACAAATCAGGTACTGAAATTAAAGATACAGCTTTACTCTCTTCTTTGATCTTAATTAAAATAATATTTTAGAAAAAAGCTAAAACCAAAAGAGGATATTATACAGATTGCTGTTTCTTTTCCAAACACTTCTCAATATCATCAAGCACTTCAACGGCAGCCTTTGGAATTCGAGTTCCAGGACCAAATACATTGGAAACACCAACTTCAAACAGAAATTCATAATCCTGTTGAAAGAATTTGCTTAATCAATAAGCCACACTATTTCCATTTGCAAGGATATAAAACAAAAGAACAATAAAGCCTGTCCTTTCTTCTTTGTCCTTCAATTACCAAAAACCTTTTCAACCGGCATACTATTGGCATTTGGGGATAAAAATTTCTTCCTTGATTGGGACTGCTACTAATAGCCATTAGAACCAGCCTCCCAGCCCAAGTCATTCAAAAAACAAAACACACTCTGCCCATTTTCTGAATACCTCTATGTGTTTGTTGTTTGTGACAGGAAGCTGGATATCCTGACTGAGAACTTCTGAGCCTTGAACCATAATTTTCTCTCACTTAAATTTTCACTCCTTGTCCTTATTCGTGTGATAAGTTTAAGCTTAAAAAAATATTTTCTCCTGGGTAATTTTTGTCTGCAGTTAGTGAATGGTGACACTTTGAATTTGGACACCTGACAGATTTTCTATAAATGAAAATGAGCTCATTTTTTTCATTCTCTTTTGCTGTTGCTGCTTTTTTAGTTTATTTTAACAAAATATGAGTGAAAAGATTTCCAGGTTACAAATAATCTTGCAGGATTTAGGCTGTTTTAACATCTGAACATTTGTAGCTGCAATATTAATTGAGGTTAGGATATGCTATACGAACCTGATCCTTATCCAGTAGGGTGTTCATATATGACAGGACAGTCTGATTTGTGTTTATTGTTATAGCAGCCTTTTTAAGAGCACCCGTTTCAAGTGATTATATTTGGATGATAAATGATATGGTCATGCTAATTACTCTCCAACTATTACTCTTCTGTCTCTATTATATACTTGTAATATTCTTATAATACTATAATACCACAATAGAACTTAACACATCTCATTGAACTTGTCTCCTTCTAGTCTGTGAAATTCTGAAAGCAGAGATCATGTCCAGCCATCTTTGTTTCCCCAGTACTTGACACATAAAAGTACACAAAACATGTCCTTTTTCTTCAGCAGATCCTATAGAGTTTAAGAGCTCATAGGGGAACTGGATGAAACATGTAATAATAATCATCTCCAAATTAGAGATGATCATATTATATGTCATATACTTCTCTCCTTCCCAAAAATCCTGTGTACCATTTGTTCTGACATCTGAGTTATCAGATTTAGAATGGAGGATTTAGAATGGAGGATTCAACTAGAAAAGAACTGCAAGACGTTGCAACTGAAGAAAGAGTATGACTTACCTCACTTTCTTACATAAGCCTTGTAAAATGTACCTTTGTGAGGGGGCAAAATGATAGCAGTAAGTGAATCTGGGTAAAGGGTATACAGATATTCTTTGTACTGTTTTAATTTTTGCACCTTATCTGTTAGTTTGAAACTATTTCCAAATAAAAAATATATTTGAATGTCTCCCACTTAGCTAGGCCAGGGATAGCATAGTGCCTGCTTCATGATGGAAGCTGGCATCATGAGTCTGTTCAACTTGCTGAAAAAACTTGGAGGTGACTGGAGCTAAGAGAGTTAGAAGATCCTAATTGTAGTAACACACTGGTGAGGACAGACCACATTTATTCATTTAATCAGACTGCAGAAACTGTAAGCTCCACATGACAGAAGCTGTATCTGATTAGCCTCTATATATTAGTGCCTCCTAATTTAAAACTGAGTTTTAACTAAATAATAGCAACATTTTACATATTCACTGCAAACAGTGAGAAAATACAAGGGTGTTAACTGCTATAATTATATAATTAGGGATACCGATATTCACACAAAAGTATAAAACAGAAAATTGTCCTTATCCTTAGTCGTTAAATTCATGGGAAAAACACATATGGCAAACACCTAAAGATGTTCTAAGTAATTTAAATATCCAGAGAGTTAATACAACTTATTTGAAATATAATTCTTGAAAATGTCACCTCACTTATATAACAGGACTACGTTTTTTTTTTTTCTCTCAACATGAATTCCAATTCGGATGTTTTCTACTAGCTAACTACTTTGGTTCTCACATTTTAATATCATGCCTAGGTATCACAGACTCTAAAACTGCAACACTGATATAAGTGTTCTGGAGCTAGAATAACAACCCTTTATTTTCTCAAATAATGACTTATTTTATGAAAATAATAGGCAAGTATGTTAACAAAAAGAAATTTTGTGTTGATTATATCACATTAAATAATACGTTGTTGGAAAGAAAATAAATACATAGTCTGTTCACTAGCCCCACTTTATTACCAATCTCACAACCTTATTCATATGAATTTTCTCCTTTCACAAGTAGTATATGAATGCACTATTCTATATTTTGAGTTTTAATGGAGGAAAGAAAAAACTGTAGAGCTGGAAACAAGGTTACACTTCACTGATAGATTCTTGCTATAGTGATGGGACCTTTGTAGCATCTATGAATCATTTACTTATAGCAGCCTCATAAACACTTCTTCTAACTTGGTATTTTTTCCATTCTCAGTAAAACAGAAAACCTTGATATAATTAAGAACTGGATTGGAAACAGAACCTATTTGTATCTTACTATTTTAACTGATGAGGAATGTCATATGTAGAAGGTATCTCCCCACCTCATTAATAAATTAACTTAGTTATTATTACTTGGCTCCCAAAATACCATGCCCTAATCAAATTAGCTTAAATGATAAAGGATTTTATAGGACCATGGAAGTGATATAGCTCTGAGGTAGGACAACATTTAGGGATGGGAACATCTTGGAGGAAATGGACAAGGTAACTCCTTCTAAATAGAAGTAAGCAAACTACAGGAGTCATTCCCCTCCAGGACAAGGAGTCCTCACTATATCTCTGGTTTGATATATCCACTGTGTATTTACTACCACTGTTCTTTACTGCACTTAAAGAGTTTTATTACTTTTATCCATTCCTTCTCCATAACTGTTTATTGAGAATGAAGGTAGAGTTATGGACACATAGGTTACCAATTTGTAAGGAGGTAGTTATCTCACTGAACCTTTTAAAGTGTAAGTTAAATTATATATAATAAATTGCAATAAAACTTGAATTCAAAACAACACTGCCTACTTTTATACCTTGTAGAATTTATTTAGTGAAATCACCAGGAAATAATATGTTCCTAAATCTACAACGAATTTATATTTAGCACCACATATAAGGTATCATGATTCAGGATTCCCATCACAGTACTAGAAAAATAGAGATGAAAAATACCTGAGGTGGTATTACCCCTCCACACATAACAAGAATATCTGGCCGTCCAAGGGAGTTAAGTTCTTTGATGAGCTCAGGAACTAGGGTTTTATGACCAGCAGCAAGGGTGCTTATGCCCACAGCATGCACATCTGCATCCACGGCCTGCTGGGCCACTTCACGAGGAGTCTAAACAGTCAGAAAGTAAAGATAAATCATTGTGTATTACCAGATATTGACTAGAAAAAACTATTTCAAAAGAGTTATACTACTTACATCAACATTCTACCACTTTCCTCATTAAAAATCTTGTGAATATTACTCCATATTTCATCATCCTCAAGCCATAAATACCACTAATACTAAAGCAATAAACATCAGTGCTACATTTACTTCCATCACTAGATTTCATCAATGAGGTTTAAATTACACCAAAAAAGCCCCCCACAAATCTTTAATATAAAGAAGAAATATAGGGAGAACAGTACCTCCCATTATAATTTTGTAATGTATATCTGTTTTGTATATTATCAATGTTTATTGAGTGATTGTGCAGTCCAAGCAACACGTTATACAATCTATGAAGAAGTAAAAGATTAAACACAAAATGAAATGTAAAAAAATGAATCTTAGGTTTTAAAATAGAACAGGAACAACAGATCAGTAAGATGGAGAACGAGGAAGCTCTAGAGTCTTGTTCTCTCACACAGACACAAAAATAATAGCAATATTTAGACCAAAATACCTTTGTGAAAACTCTAGAAACTAACTAAAGGGCTACAGCACCCAAGCAAGTATATAAACAAGAGAAGAGAAAGGGCTGAGGAGGATGTGCTGTGGTGAGATTTAACCCATGTTGACCCCAAGCCATAAAGAATATTCGCAAGTGTCTATTATGAATTGAGTTACCCAAGATCATATCCACTTTCTACAATAAGTTGTAGAAATGCATACTACTTTGATAATTTACATATATTTAAATCCTTTCATATAAAAGGTACTTACAAGTTTCTCATTGTAAATGTAAATTTAAAAATTTGGGAAGGATGACTCCATCTCAGAAACTACTGTACAATTATAAGTACACAAAAATCATCAATCTGTAAATTTTTCTGAGTTTGGTAAAATTTTAAGACTCATAATTTTAGTGTAGAAACAAAAGATTCTACCCTTTCAAGTAATGGGACCACATACTAGGAGATCTCTAAGTAGGTCACACAGCATATAGGCAAAACCTTGAGACTGTGAAAAACATTAACATATGAAATTAAAACTCTTAAAGAAAATGTGCACATCTTGCTATTCACCTCTAAGAGGTAAGAAATTTAAACATGATTTATTATTCATATCAATGCTACCAAAATGTATTAAATTAAAATTCTATTTAAACAATTCAGTTCTATGCTTTATGCTTACAAAAATTAAACTGTATTTTATATGACTAATTTGTTACATAAATAATCATCCAGCTAGAGAATCATACCTTTAGCCACAGAAAACACATGTTAAGTTTTTTTTATGATGTAGTATTATGTTAACAAAGTTGGTGGTACTAAAAAGCAAATTACATGTGTGTGTGTGTGTGTGTATGTGTGTGTGTGTATTTTGAGACGGAGTCTAGCTCTGTCACCAGGATTGAGTGCAGTGGCGTAACCTCAGATCATTGTAACCTCTGCCTCCCAGGTTCAAGCGATTCCCCTGCTTCAGCCTCCCAAGTAGCTGAGACTACAGGTGAGCACCACCACACCCAGCTGATTTTTTGTATTTTAGTAGAGATGGGGTTTCACCATGTTGACCAGGATGGTCTTGATCTCCTGACCTTGTGATCCACCCGCCTTGGCCTCCCAAAGTACTAGGATTACAGGCGTGAGCCACTGTGCCCAGCCACAAATTATATCTTTACAGATAGAATAAATGAAGAAATTAACTTTTAGTTATTTGAAAATTTTGTTTACATGACAATAGCTAGCAACAGTTATTTTAAAATACTTGAATTTTGTGAGAAAATATTTCCCCAAACTAACCACCAAATACTGGAAATGCATCATATTTGATCGCTATTTAAAAGAAATAAAACCTAAAGTAAAAGGGTTAAAGAATGTAAAACTTAATCAAATAAACCAAAATTGTTTTAACTCATGAAAAACAGAATAGAAAAGTATTCAACATAGAGGAAGAATGAAGGCAATTTAAATATATATATATATATATATATATATATATATTTGAGATTCTTAAAATCTACATAAAATGCATAAGACTAAATAAATTACATATACATATTACTAATTGTGTAAACACATTTACATATTATATACTTGTATCTATCAACACAGTTTAAGGACATATCTCCAGAAGTTCTAGCTCATTCTTCACACCTTCTAATGTAATATCTAAAAATTCAAAAGGAGAAAATGCTTATTGGGGATTCATCAGAGGCTAAGCTCCCTCAGGTAGGTTTACTTCTTTACTGGTGAAAATGCAATGAATATTCTTTAGTCCTCTTCTCAGCTGACCTATCTGTGGTATATAGTAACATTATTTCCTTGCCCTTGAAATTCTTTTTCCTTAGTTTTTATCTTGTTACTCATCATATTCCCTTTCATTCCGTTGCTGCCTCCTTCTCTATTTCATTTTAGGCTCTCTTTTCATCTGGTTGTACATACACCCCATGAGAAATTACATCCATTTTCATGCCTTTTAGGCAACAAAACTAATATTTTTTTGAATACTAGAAGAATGTTTCCTCAAATTTTGGGGCTTTTCCCAATGTAATGTCTACATATATCAGAAAATTTTATATTTGATATGTATTATTACATTTTCTCAGAGAACTCTGTTCTGATTATTTACATTTTTCATCAAATTTTCTGAAAAGAATCCCTAATTTTTTGTGTTTGCTGATTTTTATGTTGTGAATATTCCAACCATAGCCAATTTTCAATCTTTTAACATGACATTACTAAATGCTAAGCAGAAAAAAAGATACACAATAGCCACACAATTATAAAGTATCTCTACTATAAAGATACAATACATGGAAATAACCTAAAGAGCACAGATAATAATAAAATATATTAGGTATAGGAAGTGATAAGCTTTTAGTACTTACTACCTTTGGTTTTAAGCAATATTAAAAGGTCTAATATCCAGAATCTATAAGGAATTTAAACAAATGAGATACCATTTTACACCATGAAAAACAACTGGCTTTTGAAATTCTTAAAAATTCAATTCCTGGAGGCCTCACTATTCCCTACTGGTTCTATCAATCCTGCCTACATATCTGTAGGTAGTCCCTCCATTAAATTTTCCTAGCTGACATTTGGTTTCTCTTGATATTCTGACATTGCCTTAGTTAAGGTCTTCACTGTTTCTCTTTTCTTCAGCGCCTCTTTGCGTCTAGTTGTAGTGTTCCTCAATCCACTTCAGAGAGTGATTTTCTAGAAAGTGTATAGCACTGTGCTTCTGAAACAAACATAAGTTTCAAGGATCAACAAATGTAAGTTTGTGGGTTCCCTGTAACAAGTGAGTTGCCCTCCTTGTCTATACCTTAGTTATAGTAATTTTCATACTCTGATATAATTACAAGTACGTAAATCTCTCTTTGTTAGGAGACTGTAACCTCCTTGAGGACAAAATTGTATCCTACTTAACTCAAAGACTAGTTGATGATCAATAAATATGTAGTGGATAAAGCTTTTCACATAAAATTATTACAATGTACTTTTTAAACAAAATTTTTTTGTATTATCATTCTACAGAAAGTGTCAGTACAATTTATCTCGAGCAAATTATTTTCCTAAGTCTAATATTCTGTGACTAAGTAACATATTAGTAGAGTTAAAAAACAAACAAAAAAAACCCAAAAATAACCTTACTTATGAATTCAGCTTATATTGATATTTGATTTCCTTTTCAAAACACTTTTCACCAATCCATGTGGGCTATCTTCCCATAAAATATTAGTCTAATCTCAATAAAGAGTACAACAAGATCTTGGAAAGTAATCTTCACAGTTCCAGAGGCATAATCAAAGTTTTAGTTCTGAATTGATACTTTCACAAGTCTGAAATATGAATTATATTTTATTTTTATTTCTATTATGATGAATTGGACTATATGTGTGATGGTTAATACTGAGTGTCAACTTGAATGAAGGATACAAAGTATTGATCCTGAGTGTGTCTGTGACAGTACTGCCAAAGGAGATGAACATTTGAGTCAGTGGGCTAGGAAAAGGCAGAGCCATCCTTAATCTGGATGGGTACCATCCAATCAGCTGCCAGCCTGGTTATTTATAAGACAGAAAAACATGAAAAGAGAAACTGGCCTAGCCTCCAAGTCTACATCTTTCTCCCATGGTGGATGCTCCCTGCTCTCAAACATTGGACTCAAAATACTTCTGTTTTGGAACTTGGACTAGCTCTCCTTGTTGCTCCTCAGCCTGCAGATGACCTGTTGTGGGACCTTGTGTTCATGTGAGTTAACACTTAATAAACTCCCCTTTATATAATATATAAAGGCTAGGAGAGAGAAGGCAGGGTCGCAGGAGTGGAGACCATGGGCATTTGAGCTACTAACTTGCTTGTGCCTTCAGGACCTGCTCAAGCTTGATTGCATATATACCACTTCCATTTGAAGATGGAATGCTGCTGTGCACGACCCACTTTATGGTTAGATGGGTCAGAAAGCACCCAGTTCATGATAGGCAATTTAGGTCTCATGGTGACTTGATGACTCATAGTCAAACGTTCAGTTTCCACCAAAGCCCAGAAACAGGCCAAGAGTTGTCTCAAAAGGAGAGTAGTTATCTGCAGAAGATGGCAAGGCCTTGCTCCAAAATCCTAGAGGCCTCTGCTTTGATTCACCTATGAGAGCCTGCTAAAGGCTCCAGACAGCATCCCTATGTGGCACTGACATCTCAAGCACCATTGGATCTGTTGGGACACATGGCCCAAGGAGCAGAGCAGCTTGCACAGCAGCCTGGACCTGTTCAAGAGCCTTCTACTCTTCTGGACCCCACTCAAAACTGGCAGCCTCCTGGGTTACTCAATAAATGGGCTGGAGTAACACACCCTAATGAGGAATGTGTTGCTTCCAAAAGTACAAATAGGCTCATTAGGCATTGTTCCTCTTTCTTGATTTTATTAGGGGACAAATGCAGCAACCTATCCTTCACCTTAGAAGGAATATCTCAATAGGCCCCACAGCACTGGACCCCTAGTAAGATTACTGAGGAAGAAGTTCCTTGAATTTTAGTCAGATTTATTTCCCATCCTTTGGCACACAAAGGTCTCACTAAGTCCAGTGTGTTTGCTACTTCCTGCTCACTGATTTAATCAGTATAATGTCATCAATTAATGGACCAGTGTGATATCTTGTAGAAGCAATAAGCGATCAAGATCTCTCTGAATAAGATAATGACACAAAGCTAGAGAGCTGATATACCCCTGTGGTAGGACAGTAAAGATATATTGCTGGCCTTGCCAGCTGAAGGCAAATTGTGTCTGGTAGGACTTATAGGCATGAATGAAGAAACAGGCATTTGCCAAGTCAATGGCTGCATACCAGTTACCAGGAGATGTGTTAATTTGTTCAATGTCTTGGTCTGTCACCATTTTACTATGTTTTCTAAATGTAAGTGACTAGTAAATACTTTTGAAATTCCCCCCAACAGTTTTTAGTACCTGGAAAAGAGGGCCTATGTCCACATCGAAACCAAGATCAGCAAATCCTGTAGCAATAACTTTTGCTCCTCTGTCATGGCCATCTTGTCCCATTTTTGCTACAAGAAGACGAGGTCGGCGACCTTCACGTTCCATGAATTTATGAACCCTAAAAAACATTTAAAAATATATCAGTAGATATTAATTTTTCAAAGGTAGGATATAAAACTAATTCATTCATAGCAACTATTTCAAGTTTATTTAAAAACACCTAATCTGTTTACTTGTATTTTGGGAATTTTTGTTGTTTCCTTTTTTTTTTTTTTGATTTCTAATTTTTATTTCACATTCTGGGGTACATATGCAGGTCCGTCACATAGTTAAACATGTGCCATGGTGAACAGCTGGACAGATCACTCCATCGCCTAGGTATTAAGCCCAGCATCCATTGGCTATTCTTCTAGATGCTCTCCCTGCTCCCACCCATCTTTTGTTAATGTATCTATTTTACATTGAGAGCTCCATTGAAGTCATCTCCCCCTTAAAGGAAAGTCTAAAAGATGGCACAGACTGTAAGTACATAACATTGACAACATCATAGTGAAGTAAGACAAAAAATGACAATCTTCAACCTTCATGAGCCAGTCTACAGAGTACAACATGCAGAAAGATTTAAACTAAAAAGTGACTTCATACTCATTTATACATATATGTGACACACTAGCTGCTTTGAATTGTTCATATCTCATTTACCCTTCATAAGTATGAACTCTCCCAAGCTAACAACAATATGGTTTCTTATAATGATGAATAATCAAAATGCTTGCTTGCTCCACTGACAGATTTACTTCCAACACAAAAAAGTACTTATCTTTGTTAAAAGAAAAAAGTTCGATTTTGATGACTTTCACCTTGGCCGTTTTGGTATTTATCTAGTGTGCAAGTATTGAAATTCAGTTTTTTAATGGGAAACTTGTTACAGAGGTTGGGAAGACCAATCATCAGAAAGCTAGTTTTATACTTGAGAAATATGATCACATTAATCTATATTTCCAAGTGATGCTGTGGAAGTGTAATTATCAATTCAATGAACACTGATTTTAATGTATGCATAGATGCCAACTAAATGATTACTTTCAATTAGGAAACTTATAATTTTTATTTTATTTTATTTTACTTTTTTTTTTTTTTAAAGGTGGGGCTTCACCATGATGGCCAGGCTGGTCTTGAACTCCTCACCTCAGGTGATCCACCCACCTCAGCCTCCCAAAGTGCTAGCAATACAGGCGTGAGCCACCATGAATCATTCAAGCAATGAATAATGTAAACAAATCCAAAAAATATGAAACTCTACCACAGTAAGCAGATTGAAATATAAATATGAAGCAATTATCATTTTTAGTTAAACATCTGCTTGACATAAGAAACTCCTGAAGGGGACTATGGTGAAAGTTCAAAATATTATTAATTATATGAAAACTAATATTCTTAGTTTCAATGTTTAATATTTGTTAATTATTAAATATTATATACATATTAAAATAATGATAGTACAGCTATATATCTTGTATATTTCTAATTATATATTATATACAATGAATAGATTATATACTTTAATTATATGTTATATAGTCTATATAATACAAATAATAATATAATTATTATTTAATTTACTATTTATTATTTTAAAATTCAAACATTTTCTCAGTTATATGTAAGAAAATCAAGCTCCCAGTAAATTCAAGGGGATTGTGTTAATAGAAAAAATGAAATTCTGGCCTAAGAAACCTTACATATTACCTCTTGATAGCAGATGTTATCTCTTTACTCTCTCCAAACTCCTGGCGATATGCTCCACTCACCATTCGGTCATTAGCTTTATGTTCACCAAATACCTTTTTCAGGGCATCTGTGATTTCTCCCACTGTACATCTAAAACATTAAATGGTGGTTCCATTAACTTCATTATATTGTGATAAAGGTATTTGTTTACCATAATATTCAATATAATTAGATACTGTTACCTAAGTAAACAATAAACTATAAAAATGTAAATAAGAATGTTTTTAATGTATTATGAAAGTGTCTCTTCTGAAAATACTTATGGAAAATTTAGTCTGAATGCCTTTATGTACCCAATTCTCTTTTCAACATTTGTCAACCAAGAAATGACTGAATGACTTAAAAATTATATATATAGACAAGTACCTGAAGGTTGCTGTATAATTCACCACTTAACAACACAAATGGATAAAGAGCAATACTCCCATAAATATTTTTGATAAGAAGTAAATCTTTTAGCATATTCCATCCATTTGTTCACTAACTCATCCAACACTAGTTATGTGCCTAATATGGGTCAGATATTACTATATCTCTATATCTACTATAGCAATACAGTAATAAATTACCAAAGAAAAAGTGCTTGTTCTTACAGACCTTAATATCTAGTCAGAGGAAGCAGATGATAAACAACCAAATAAATTAGTAAGATAATTTCATAAGGTAATGAGTACCATAAAAACCCTAAACCAGGCAAAGATGGAATGGGGTGTCTGGAAGAACTATTTTAAAGTTATTGAAAATATGAAGATATGACTTTTAACTAAGATATAAACTATAAAAAGGGGGATCCCAAGGGAATATAAAAGAGTAAGAGTGTTTGAAAAAGAAAGTACTAAAAGCAAAGGCTCTGAGATGTAGGAAAATATGTTTTGTGGTCTCAAAATAGAAGGGCGTTAGGAACACAGTATAGTGAGGAACGTAGTATAAGATGAGGTCAGAGAGATGGGCAAGAGTCACCAGTTAAAAGCAAAAGTAATCTATTTAATGATATTTCCATATATTGGGAGATTTTTTTTCCATGGGTCACTTGTTTTTCTGCATATACTGTGGAGCAAAGCACTGATGGCTCTTTACTCTGAACTATTTTTTCAAAGATGTCTGTATAGTGAATTGCCTTAGAAGACAGGGATATTGGCTATCTCCAGAGCAAAGGGTAGGTTTGCTTTCTGTCCAATATAATAATGTCTCCCTCTAGAACAAAGAGGAACCATGCTTATTACCCATTACAAAAGATTCAGAATCCCTAAGCTCAGGGTTCCTCTCCTTGAATGTAACCCAATACACTGCACATGAGGTATCATGCAGCAACCCTTTCTCATCACTCACATCTATTGGGGACCAGAAGAACTAGTCCAAAACCTGCTGATATTATGGCCATTAATACTGCAGTAAAAAATGGGCATTAGTTTCTGAGTCAGGGATCGCATATCACCAACCAGCATCCCACTATACAGGATAACTTATTAGCTTGCAAAAAAGGTAGTATTTCAGATCCCTTCTGGTTCTTAATAATATAATGAATTTATGTATCTATTAATATATATAACAAGATAATTTTTAAGACAACAAATAGAAAAATAATAACAATTAACATTAAGTGCCATATTCTCTTCCAGGAACTATTTTTAATGATTTCATGTCTTCTCACAACAATCCTATTAGATAGTAAGTACAAAAAACTTCACTTTGCCAAATATCATGCCTATGGTTACACAGAAACAGACATAACATGAGATTAGATTCATGTTTTACTCAGCCTTTTTTAAATGCAGGATGACAAAAGTTAGGAGATAAACGAGCTTGTTAAATGAAGGGTTACAAAGGCAAAAAGTTTCAAGAAGAAATAGTGGTCAGTAATGTTAAATACTGTAGAGAATTCGAGATATGAACTAAAAATTTTCCACAATATTAGACAAAGAGGAAGTCAGTAGTGAACTTAGTAAGAGCAATGATATTACAGTAGAAAATCAAGTGCAGTCCAAAATGTCAACAGGAGATAAAAGACTGGTGACAAGAAGTATTCTACTTCTAAAAGAACACGTGGCTCTAATAACAAGGGAAGAAGGACTGGGATGGGGTGTGGGGAAGTTGGTTACTCTTCTGGTTGCTTCATGGTTAAAAATAATTCAAAAGCAATGAGATGACAAGCTTTTCCTATCAATTCCCAGATTAATATCCCCTTGCCCACCCCAGAGCCATTTTAACTGGTAAAATACCAAGGAAATTGGCATAAACCTGATGATATACTTGAGAGTCCAACACATTTCAACCTGCAAATCAGTGAAATAGATTTATTTTAATAGTTTCAAAATTCCTCACAGTAAAATATACAATTATTAATATATTTCACTCAAAATATATGAATGTTTGACATAGAGATTTTTAAATGATAAGAATTAAATTTATTATGGTTGTTATTATTTTCTTTAGGGCTCACATGGTTTATAGGATCAACCTTTTATTTAAATATACTCTGAAAAGCTAAACTGGTCAACTTTCGGTGTTTGGAAATCTCCAATCTTATGTATCTCTACCTTGCACGAGATGCATCCACTGCAAGAGCCAGGATATTTCCATCTCCACTAGCAGCACATTCAGTTAGTGCAGCAAGACAACGTTCAGCCAAAGCTTGATCCCTGCTGGATTTGATCTTATGGAAAAAGTCAAGGAAAGGAACAATTTACATAAAAATAGAACAAAATAGATCACGAGATTAGACCCTGATACATAGCATATGACAATTTTTTCCATAATCCTAGCTCCAAATATAAGGGGAAAAAAATGAAAAGAATAATATACAACCTAGGAATTTCATTCATTCAATTCATTCATCACTCAGGATTTCCTAAGATAATATTACATTTGGTATAACCCTAACAAATCAGAAACATGCAAAGCAATAACAGTGCTGACCTTCCGAAGAAGCACATGCTACTAGGCTTTTCTAAAGTAGCAAGACATTGAAAACAAGTGGGTCTTTCATATGAAGTATTCTGAAGGAACATTAAAGATTAATAGTAACAAGAAAAAAAATAGAAACTTGAGAATATTTTAGTTATATTTTAAGTTTCCTTTAGATAAATAACAATATATTAATAATAATACATATGTATATTGCTGTTCTTTTATTTTAAAATAATCCCAAGAGAGAAAGAGAGTCTAACACAGAGAAATACAGTGAAAAGCATGGTTAAAAAAAAAGAAACACCTTTTCCCCAGCTCCTAACTCTGCTCTGACAAAAATTTGTCAAAATAAAGTTGCATAAATCAATTTTTTTTTACGAATTATACCACCTGTATAAAGGAGTCTAAAATATGATACTGTTCAAGATGCCACTAATATTATATAGTATCTATAAGCAGAGGTGGTAGAGAAAATTTAAACTTATCCCTCAATATCTGTGGGTGATGGGTTTCATAACCTACTGTCCACCCTATCTACAGATATCAAAATTCAGGGATGTTCAAGGCCCTTATATAAAATTATGTAGTATTTGCATATAATCTATATACATTTTCTTGTATACTTTAAATTATCTAATATCTGATACAATGTAAATACTACATAAATAGTTGTTATACTGTATGGTTTAGGAAATAATAACAGCAAAAGTCTGTTCATATTCAGAACAGATGTATCCATTCTTTATTTCTAAAATATTTTCAATTCATTATTGGTAAAATCCATAGACATGGAACCCATAGATATGGAGGTACAACTATATTTAGGGCAAGAAAAAACTCAACTCCAAATTTCCCAAAAAAATGCTCATTTTTCTATATCTTTTATTGGAAAAACAATAAACACATAAACAAAATACAATTTAAGAGAAAAATAAAGTTTAGAGTAAATAAAGAAGTGATTTGGCACAGGGAAGTAGGGTGCTATTGTAGATATTGGATCACTGTAAGCTTCTTAGATAAAGTGACATTTGAGCAAAGTTCTGAGAATTATACCTTTTCTGGTTTACCAAAAAACTATAGTCATCCTTAGATTACGTCGTTTGCTATAATTATCTCAACAACAGATTAATAAAATTTAGGGAGTGAAAATAAGTGCTAAAATTAATTAGGGTTAAGGATTACAGAAAAATAATTTAATATAAAGTTACTGTTGAGGTAGTACATGTATTTAAAAAAAAAAAAACCAACACAGGTAAAATATTTTTAAAACTGTGGTTAAAAGGAAAACATAAGAAAATATAAACTTGAGTTCATTACTGAAAAGAGCTCAGAGTATTACAGCAGAAATATATTTTGCTATAAAAATATCTGATTCTAGCTATGAAAGTTAATTTTTATAATAGAAGAACTTTGATTTGGTCATGGTCCTAAGAAGATTCAAAACTAGGAAAAAGTTTATCAAAATATCCATTTCCCCTAAACTGGCACTGGAGTCAAAAAGCCTGCATTCAAATCCCAGCTTTCTCACTTATACTATAGCCTTAAGCAACCAAATGAGACTCTCCCATCATTGGTTCCCTCATCTGTAAATGGAAATAAAAATAGCAACTACCTGTTAAATAAAATAATATGCAAAAACAATAAAAATTCAAGAAAAGCATTTAGTACAGCATCTGGTACATAGTAAGTACTCAATAAATGTTAACTATTATTCCTGTATTGTCATTACTGAATTTCTCTCTGTTGCTCAAAATAAGGCTTACATCGTGTATGACAAATGAAATCCCTCAGGCTATGAAGATATAGTGTTAATAAGAACTTAAAGGGTAAGAGGGGAGAAGGGTTTTCCAAATATCTATTTGATTTTTATAGATTGAACTAAAAAAAAGCCATATATTAAACAATCTCAGGAAAAGTGAACAAAGAAAAACCATTAAATTTTTAAGTTTTCTACCTTGGAAATAGGAGCAATTACAAATGTCAAAGATTAAGAGGCCAAAGTAGCTTAATACAACAAAAATATATAGGTTACAACAGTGACAATTAATTTGATTTATTTATTTTAGTATTTCATATACTTTGTGTCAACTCAGTGATAAACTAAAAATAAGAAGAAAATACAGTACTCTAGCATCAATCAAAATAAATAAAGTTTATTATAAATTGTAGCTTACTAAAGCACTGCCAAATATAGTTGAATTTTAAAAATCGAAAAGTATGTAATTATTTCATAGTAGTATCAGATGCCATCATTCTAATGAAAGAAATTACAATAAGAAGTCCTGGGTTCAAATACTAACTCTAAACTTTATTCTATGTTTAACTTTGAATAAGTTATATAATCATCTAAGCCTTGCTTCTAATTTACAAATTATGGAAGGTATTACTATTGCAGTGTGGTTTTTAATAACAACGTATAAGTTTCACAGAGGTAGATATCATGGTTTAAAACAAGGTTTTGGTGTCAACAGACTAAGACTGAGTCATGGTTGTCTATTTATCCTGAGCAAGTTTCTCAATGCCTTATCTTTAGTTCCCTTACATTTGAAATGATGGAAAATAATACCCACCTCATGCTGTTGTAAGGATTAAATTAAGCAGGACAAATTAAGAGCTTAGCAGTGCCCAGAACACAGAAAATACTAAAGAAACAAACAAAAAAAGCTATTAATACCTTCTTAAGTTTTTCAATCTGCCTGTTTCGCACTGAAGTATTATCAATTGCCAGAACTTCTACAGCATCTTCTTTTTCCAACTGGTACTTATTTACTCCAACGATTACTTCAGAGCCTGGTAATTTCCCAAAAAAATATTTTATTCACAAATAATTAGCTAATTGTAATGCTTTGGTTATAATGTATTTTCCTTATAAATTTAATATCTTTAAGTAGTACTCTTAATTTTTAATGAAATTTCAATATAGATCAGCAAATCCCAATATAGGAAGGGGGTGTGAGAGTAAAGAAGGGGTAAATGTCAGAGTCTCTGTAAGAAAGATTTTCATTATTTTACCAAACTATTAACATACACTTTCCCATAATTACTAATAAATCTTCTAACACTTCAAAATAACAATAAGAGAAGTTGCCATAAGGTAGAGAATTAATATCCGGTAGCTTTTCTAATATTTTCTTTAATTCAGCCAATCGCTTTTAAACAAAATAAATAACCCTTCTACAATCTGTAAGTAGTAAATCAAAATTACAAAGATACTTCCTTACATGATAAATAATATATTTTACGTCAAACTACCAGATTATTACCTTATATAAAACATTCCACACCCCCTACCCCTGGTTATACTCCTTCATAGTTTCTTCATAGCACCTATTATGATCTATAATTCTTTATTTACTTCATTTTCCTCTCTTTTACTAGAATGTAAGATCTGTGTGCAAAGAGGTCATGTCTGTCCTGTTCACAGTTGTATGCCCAGACATAGAAAGTGCCTCATATAAATTAAACCAAAAAAGTATTCACTGAATGAATACTCCAATGCAGAGAGCACTGTGATCTTCAACAGCAACATCTGCAAAATGTTAATGACATCTACCCACAAACATGTACATATATACAATGGGTAGACATCCACACACACTTTGTACCTATGCTTGCCTGTCTGCATCCACGTATGCAAAATACAAACACAGATATATTTAGATCTAAGTATGAGAAAAAGTTTACCCAAGTTCCATTTTTATTATTTTTGTTTTATTAATTATACATGTTACCTTCAAACAGAAATAAATTTCTTCTTAAATGCTGGATTTCACATATGAACTTTCTCACTATCTTACCAGAATCAATTCTAGCTTGTCTTCGGGCAGCACATTCTTCAATTCGAAGTTTAGGTATTCCCTCAGCTACAGCTTTGGCCATTCCACCCATTTCTTCAATTTCATTAATGAGCTAAAAAGAAAAAAATTGACAAAACTAAAAGAGGATATTAAAAATGTGTATAAACTATATAAATTTGTTATGATCATTATATAATTACTAATATTAATAAAATTATAAACTATCTGTTAATGTTTCATAAGAACATAATTAAATAAACATCAAAGGCATTACTTAGAATTTGTGTGTTTATAGTTACTTGAAAAGACAACAGAAAAGTTAACAATTATATTCTGAAAAACACAAAACCTCTTGTCTTAAGAGAAAATTAAAGACAACATCAATTCTCTAATCTTTACTTTTAGTTACACATAGTTTTCATAATTACATAAAGTCTCTTAAGAAAAATATTTTTTTAAAATGCAATTACTTTTGATTTGAGCTGCAGAGAAACAACGTAACCTCATCTTTAATGAAACAAGGAAACATTTAAACCTTCAATCATAGCTTCATATATGAAGGCAGAAAACAGCGGAATGATGACTTAGCACAAAGGATCAAGGTGAACTTGCTTTTCCCTGATGAAATCAAGAAAGAAGAATCTCTATTGGATTCTACATAAGTGTAAAATGAGAAGCTAAAAAGAGGAAGACAGTTTGGGAGGTGGTTACCCTTCTCTCATTCTGTCAGGAGAACCAAAATTTACTACTGTCTACAAAAAATGAATTCAATATGCAATGAATTATTAAACACCAAATCACAGAGAGAAGTAAGGATTAAATGTCTTACTGAAATAAAAGCCTATACTCTGACTAAAGACTAAAAACAAAAAGCACAGAGAGGAAACAGAAACAATACAGGACGCAGAAGAAAACTTCAGAAAATAAGATGAATTCAGAATAAAAAGGGATTCTACACTAATGAAATAAATTAACATGACATTAATTATAAGGGAGAAGTTAGAAAACAAAAATGAGCACTATGGATTTAAAGTATAATAAATGAATGTAAAATACTTAAGAGACATAGAAAGTTGACAAATCTTTAAGAACACTAAATAAAAAGGCAAACAGATGTACTATAGAAAACATAAGAACATCAGCATATTATTGAAGGAGGTCCGTAGCTTATGACTAGGAGTTCTAGAAAGAGAAACCACAGAAAAATGGCAAGAAAAAAATTATCAAAGAAATAATACAAGAAAATTTCCTAGAGCTATTAAAAAAAAAAGTATGTATATAATATATATATATATATATATAAAATAGCTCTAGGAAATTATATATATATATATATAATAGCTCTAGGAAATTATATATATATATATATAAAGGTGAGATGAAAAAGACCCAAGGTTCAGTACCATGTAGGAAAAAATACAGCAAGTTATACATCAACACAAAAAATAAAGAAGAGATCCCAATGCTTCAGAAAGAGATCCTGAATGAGAATGACATCAAATTTTTGATCAAAAATATTGAAAGCCAGAATAAAAATCTAGAATGAAAAACAGATCAATGTTTATAAACTTGCTTATGAATTTCCTAAATGGAAATAATGTCAAATTTAGACTACCAATCAAGTATAAAAATAGAATAAAGACATTCTCAAACAGGCAAAGTTTCAAATAATTTATCTCTCATGCACCATTTTTAGCAGGTTTCTGTGAGATGTACTTCCAAATAACCAAGAGATAGAAATGGGATTCAGGATTCAGAATTCAACACAGGAGAAATGAAAATGTTTTCCTAGTATAATGGCAAAGAGGAACGAAAGAACAGCAATAGTGAGCAGAACTAGAGAAAAAAACAATTTAAATCAAATGAGAACATTAGAAGATTTCAGAAAAGATTACATTGAAATATAATTCTATTGGCAGTAAGAGGGGAAAGAAAGAAGGGTTATGAATCAGCCAAAATCTAAACTACGCTACCAGGAAAGCAATAGATAGTGTCTAAGGTCTCATGAACAATGTCTACAGCTGATACAATTAGAAGAAACAGTATACATGTGATTTCAAACTATGCAGATAAAAATAAGCAAAGTATATATCTTACCCCAGGAAGCAGGAGAAAAAAAGTGGAAGATCAAAAACTGTTTTTTGTAAGCTTTTTTTGTTTTTTGTATGAGCTGTCTTTTTAATTCTTCGAATAAAATACTTTAATACAAATACAAATGTATTTTGTAACGGATTCAGTTTTGAAAACTATAAAATCAAATCTGAATTTCCCTTTTTTGGCTAACATTGTGTAAACTGTGATATAAATCTGTAAGGATATGATTTATAAATTTAAAATCCATAAATCTCCACTTTTAAGTTTTAAAATCTGTAAATCTTGAAAACAAAGTTGCAAAGTGGAAAATCTTACCTTTAAGGCAGCATTGTAAACATCATTTGTGAGAGATTCCATCATATAAGAACCTCCCCACGGATCAGCCACTTTGGGAATCCCAGATTCTTCCTGAATGATGATTTGTGTGTTCCTGGCAATTCGAGCACTTTTCACAGTTGGCAAACCCAAAGCTTCATCAAAAGAATTTGTGTGCAAAGACTGAGTCCCTCCAAACACAGCTGCCATTGCTTCTATTGCAGTACGGACAATATTATTGTAAGGATCCTAAAATATTTGATAAAAACAAAAAGTCAAACAAACAGGTGATAGATTTTGCAACTATAAACGGCAACATGATTAAACAGCAACTGCTGCATACTTGCTATGTCAATTTCCATATTAAGCTTCAAAATAGAAAATAAATTTAGACAAATTTGTTTAGAAGCCAGGATTAGAAGAGTCAGAGTCAGTGTTTAATGCTTAATCTTCTCTTAAGCACTAAAACATTATCTCTTAAAATCCTCTGAAATTATAATTCACTCTCTCCTAATTATTTTGGCTACCTCACAGTATCTACCACAATGATGTGTACAAAACAGGCACTGAATAAATGTTAATGAAACAGATGAACAATGAACTGAGATATCGGAAATTCGAGTTCTAGTTTATTGTATGCCTAATTGTGATTTGGGCAAGTCATTAGATCTCTCTGAACTTCAGTTTCCTTAGCTGAAAAAATAAGCAGGTTAAAATAAAATTGATTATTAAAGTTCCTTCCAACCCTAAAAAAAAAATCTCTATTTCTCCATTTATAGGAACCTGAAGTTATATTTCATATAGAGTATAGTAGTTGTTATTCAACATTTAAATGTATAAAAGCAATGTAACTTTGCACATATAAATTTTTAAATATATCAAAATAATATGTAAAGAGAACATGTATAAAAACAAGGCCTTCACCACACAATTTTTAAGAGAACAAATTTAATTACCCAATTAAAAAGTCACTTTAAACAGTTTGTTTTTATGTTGCTTAAACATATAACTGTAACACATAAAATATGTATGTGTATATTGAATTATTTTTAAATAGGCAGTTTTATGCTAAGAATTATAACTCTTAAAATTATATGAAAGTATTAATGACTTTTGCTTATTCCTCATGATTAAATTTTGTTTACTTTGTTTTATTTATTTTTTTTGAGACTGAGTTTTGCTCTTGTGGCCCAGGCTGAAGCGCAGTGGCAAGATTTCAGCTCACTGCAATCTCCACCTACCAGTTTCAAGCGATTCTCCTGTCTCAGCCTTCCAGGTAGCTGGGATTACAGGCAGACACTACCACTCCTGGCTAATTTTGTATTTTTAGTAGAGACAGGGTTTTGCCATGTTGACTAGGCTGGCTTCAAACCCCTGACCTCAGGTGATCCACCCATCTCAGCCTCCCAAAGTGCTGGGATTACACACATGAGCCACTGCACCCAGCCTTGTTTACTTTTACAAAAGTGTTTCAACACTATATGGAAGCTAGTATATAAGTGATTTTATATTGTTAACCACTAGAGGCAATTTTATTTATTTCTTTATTTATACTATGTATGAATACAAATGTAAGTATACATTATGCTTCAGAATATTTATGATTTTCAAATATTAACAGATTGCTTCTTAAATCTATTTCCTGGTTGTGACACATTGCTCAGAAAAATATGTATATATTTACATATATATATATTTACATAACTTTATTAAAATTCTACATTTAAAATTATATATACACCTGCTCAGTAAGTGACCATCCGGATGTCTGACAATGTGCTCTTAGAAGAAGAGATTTCGAGTTTTTAGGCTGAAACATTTTCTCTATTAAGTGAGCCCAAAGTCTTCTACCAGCTCTCATCTTTGCTATTTCCATATAGAAATTCATTCCAATTCCCCAGAAGAAAGACAATCTAAAATAGTAATGTTAGATCCAGAATTTAATTAAAATTAACAACATGGAACAGAAAATAAAACGAATTATATCACACACTAGAAAATCAAGGTCTATATTTTAAATTCAAACAACTTAATTTGAATTAAGATCAGTGCATGTATATTTACGTAACTTTAAACCTAACATAAAATTACAGTTTTATGCATGTGGAAGAAATTTTGTTTCAGGTAAGAATTATTCACTTTGCAATTGGTTTTCTTTAAGAAAGAATCTCTTCTTGTGTCCTTCATTAAAGAAAGATTCTATTTCTTTAAAAAAAATATTTTAGGAATACTCAATAAGTAAGAAAGCAGTCACCTATAAATGAAATAAAAAAACAAATTTGCTCTATTTAAATAGCAAGAAGGTGTTCTGTAAAAGAATGATTGTGCATTTGGTCTAGGAATATACTTCTCCAATTTGTGCCTTCCACCACTCCCTTTATCTTATATTCTGTACTGATTTAAACATTTAGGTCTCTCTCTAAAGGCACAAGGCTTGCAAATCCATTCCTGATACATATTTGGAAGGTTTTGTTTTGTTTGGTTTGTTTTTGTTTTGTTTTGTTTTGGTTTGGTTTGGTTTGGTTTGTTTTTGTTGTTTTTGAGACACAGTCTTGCTCTGTTGCCCAGGCTGGAGTGTAATGAGGCAATGTCAGGTCACTGCAACCTCTCCCTCACAGGTTCAAGCAATTCTTGTGCCTCAGCCTGCCAAGTAGCTGGGATTATAGACAAGGACCACCATGCCCAGCTAATTTTTGTATTTTTAGTAGAGACCAGGTTTTTACCATGGTTGCCAGGCTGGTCTTGAATTCCTGGCCTCATGTGATCTGCCTAGCTTGGTCACACAAAGCACCAGGATTATAGGGGTGAACCACCACGCTTGGTCTTAGAAAAAGCTCTTAACACAGAAGTTCTCAAATATTTTTATGTCAGTTTCCATTTTCACTCTTAAAACTTCTTGAAGATTCCCAAGAATTTATTTATTTATTTGTATAGTATCTATCAATATTGTATTTACTAGTTCATTTAAAAGGAACAATAAGGAAGGGCACAGTGGCTACTGCCTAGAATCCCAGCACTTTAGTAGGCCAAGGCAGGAGGATAGCATAGCTTGAGCCCAGGAGTTTGAGGCCAGCTGGGCAACACAGGGAAACCCCATCTCTACAAGAAAATTTTAAAATTAGCCAGATATGGTGGCACACACCTGTATTCACAGCTACTTGGGAGCCTGAGGTGGGAAGAAGGCTTGAGCCTGGCAGGCTGAGGCTGCAATGGGCAGTAATCATGCCATTGCACTCCAGCCTGAATAACAGAGCAATATCCTATCTCAATAATCATCACATCAAATCAAAATAAATCCACAACATATTAACATTAGTAACATTTCTTATGAAAAATAAGTATGCCTCTTAAAAATATATATAATAAAAGCATCATTCTTTTACATTTTTGCAAATCTCTTTAATGTGTGGCTTAAGAGAAGACAGCTGGAGTCCTGTAACTGTTTCTGCAATCTGTTGCAGTATCACATGCCATGTAGCTTCTGAAAAACACCACTACAAATTCTTGAGAAAATGAAAGTGAAAAAGGTAAATAAAGCTCTAATATAAGCATAAAAATAGTTTTGATCTCAGATACCCCAGAAAGAGTCTTAGCAATGCCTAAGTGTTCTTAGATCGTACTTTGAGAACTGCTGTCACAATAAGTAAACAAATCCCTGGTATAAAGGAGCATTTCAGTAGGCAAGGAAATATATTTCAATAGGCAATGAAACTAGCTTCTGAAGGCAGAAGCTATGTTTTCTACATGTTGTTTTGTCAGCATATTGGCTAGTGTTTGGCATAGCAAAGCTTAGCTAGTGAATGCTATACTGACTGAACCACTGAATGACTTTTGACTTCCAAATTTAAATATTTCATAAACTTCATTTAAGTTTTTCCATATTTTTCACATAACATTATTAAGAAACTGTTGTGAAACAAAATGTTTTCGACAGCACGGTGGATCCCAAAACATTACATTAAATAGTGCAACAGAGAAAAAAACATAATAGATGAATTTCGCTTTCTAAAATGAAAAAGTAAGAAAACTTTGCAAGTATGAGCCACAGGCGCCTGGTGGATCACGAGGTCATGAGATCGAGACCATCCTGGTCAACATGGTGAAACCCCGTCTCTACTAAAGATACAAAAAATTAGCTGGGCATGGTGGCACGTGCCTGTAATCCCAGCTACTCGGGAGGCTGAGGCAGGAGAATTGCCTGAACCCAGGAGGCGGAGGTTGCGGTGAGCCAAGATCGCGCCATTGCACTCCAGCCTGGGTAATAAGAGCGAAACTCCGTCTCAAAAAAAAAAAAAAAAAAAAAAGAAAAAGTAAGAAAAATAAAAGAAAACTGTCTCAACATTATGTTTGCATTTTAATATCATTTGTTAAAATGTGCAACTTAATTGTGTTCTCCAAATAGCGGGACACAACATATTCCTTGAATTTACAAAGAAGTATGGCCAAATTTAATTCTAATTTTGTATTAAAAATAGTATTGTTTTTTTCTGTCATTATCACTCAGATAAAATATAAGAAAATCTAAACCTAGCCTGACATTTATATTTACAAATTCCTGTTATCAATATATAAAATGGTCCTATGCATTTCCTAATGTTGGAACAATGTCTAGGTTTAATTTACCCACCTTGGTGCAAATTCATCAATTGTCAGGCCAGCTTGGAGTCCAGTTCTAGAGTACTCCAATCCATCTGCTAAAGTATAGGCCAGTTCCAGAATGGCATCAGCCCCTGCCTCCTGCATATGGTATCCACTAATTGAAATTGAATTAAATTTTGGCATGTGCTACAAAAAAAAAATTATTACAGTGAATAAGTAAAAATATTAAAAGGTTCTATTAAATCCACTTTCTAAATGCAAATACTATTTTTAAATGATGTTCAACTCAAATATACTTGGTAGTTTATAATGTTAACAAAATATTTAGTGCTTACTTATTACATTTAATTTGCTTTCCAATTTAAATGGTTGGTCCATAAAACATCATCAGGACTGTACCTACTTTATTTTTCTGGTAGACAGGAATTTGTACTAACCATTCTTCTAAAAGTTTAAATTGTGGAATTAGCTAGCTGAGGTTAGGAATGTAACCTTTGGCCTGAGAACTAAATGAGGTATTTTTAATTTCAAACCAAGGACTTTGACCTCTTAAGAGGTTGTAGACCCAAACTTTGGGTTAATCTGCTGAAGATGTATAAATTTAATATTTACTGTTATTAATTTTCTACTTTGAATGAAGGCATTAAACATGAATAAGTACTCGGGAAAAAAAAGAAAATGATTTGATTTTTAGTAATGTATGTTGAAACAAAATGGGATACAATACATGGCTTTAAAAATCAAAGATTTCAGTCTGATTTACTGTGACATTTAATACTCAGCATATCCCACACAGATTCTTTCCACCACAATCACTACAAAAACTGTATTTCCACTATTCCCCTAAAATTTCATGTCAGGTAGAATACATTAAGCATATCCTGCAGAGCCAAGAAAAACTATCCTTACCAAGAGTTAACCAAACATAAAATGCTTGCTAGGCAATGTTTGCTAGAGTTTGGAGATAACAGTAATTACTAGGGTTGATAGAGATAAAAAGGGTTGATGAAGATTTTCCCTGTGCCATGAAATAATGGTCTAACTTTAATGTAGGTAAGGAAAAGAAGCACATTGCTGGTAAGAAGCAAGGTGTGAATAATGGGGGAAAATATAAACAAACTGCTCACAGGAAAAGGAAGGAGGAAAATATGTTCCTGTGGAAGGACTTTTCCCATCATTCTTATTGGGAAAGATGAGTCTAATTCAGGGGTGAATATTAGCGACCTCCTTGAGATTGCAGATATAAGTGATATGTAATATCGTCAAATTCAGCTTTTAGCAGAAATGAAGCTGATATTCTAATCCCCATTTGCCTGATACTAGTGTCTGCTTCACAACTGCATCTGAATCTTTGAGGGAAATTTAAAAATGTAAGTAGAAGACATCCCTGATTCTAACAATTATTAGAGTTAAATTTTAAGAATAAAGAAAACACAGTAAAGATCTACTGCCCAGATTCCTACAAGTAATGACAGAACATAAAATTAGTACATTAAAAATAAAAAATAACAATAAAAAAAATTCTAAATTTATATTATATTACTCAGACTCAGTCTTTAAATTAGGTTGTAGCATGTTGTAAAAATTCCTACATTCAAGAAACTAGAGAAAAACATAAGAACCACAAAGTATACCTTTGCTGTATATTCAAAGATATCAGCAATAATTTTCATGGATGGTTCTGGAGGAAAAATGTATGTATTTCGAACCATAAATTCCTTTAGTATATCATTTTGGATGGTACCAGTAAGTTTATCTTTAGGTACACCTTGTTCTTCTCCAGTTACTATAAAATTTGCAAGAACTGGAATAACTGCTCCATTCATAGTCATGGAAACTGACATATTTTCTAAAGGAATTCCATCAAATAGAATTTTGGTATCTTCCACAGTGTCAATAGCAACTCCAGCCATTCCAACATCACCACGAACTCGAGGGTTGTCTGAATCATAGCCACGATGTGTCGCCAGATCAAAGGCAACGGATAATCCTTGCTGACCAGCTAAATACATAAAGAAAAATAATGTAAGATTCAAGAATCTGGAATCAAAGTAAAATGATTTACTTTAACACTACTGAAAATGTTCATTCATCTCATAACAGTATACTTTTATAACAACTATTTTTATGCTCATACATGTCAAAATAAATTAAATAATGATACTTCATTTCTTAAGGGAATCAGTTTTTCCCTTGTGCCAAAATACACAAATTTAGCTCTAGACCTCACTACAGGAAAGAATGGAAGAAATACAAATCTCAATTATCTCATTTCCATCTGAAGATTTGGTACTTGATTGAAATATTTCTAAAATTCAGGAAAAGATCTGCTGTTCATACATGGTAAAAATAACTCACATTTGTATGCTTGTTTACTTTTTTGTTCTTTTATCTAATATGGTCATAACAAGATTCTTGGCTAGTCAAATATTCTGGGAAACAGAATTATGACAATCATACACAATTCTAAAATAACTAAAATAGTCTATACTAAAAATAAATAAGTTCAACCTTCCATGAGCAATACAAACTTATAAATCTACAAGTTTAGCATTCAAACAATATGACTTTATTACAGATCAGAAAGAAGAAATAAGTTAATTTTCAGTGAATGAATGCCAGAATACACTGAAATATGTTTGTACCATGTTATCACATTTACACTTTATTTGGGCATCATTTAACCTATCTTCTTCTCCAATTCCTATCCCAACAATATTAATTAAACTTTTTTCAAAGTCAAAGCTAATGTCTTCTTTTCTTCATGCAACTTCACCTCACCTAATTCCTTTTAAACAATGTGAATCTAAGTGTTGTTTTCTTTCAAAATTTTAGCACCTTATTCGAACTCACTTATTTTTTTGACCACAGAAGATAAAAAAATACCCACTTTTTTCAGAGTGTAGTCTTTAACTACAAAATTATAAGTGAATATCATCTTTACAGAGATTAACCTAAAAAAAAGTCAACCCTAGGAGGTAAATGTCTTATCATAAATATTATGTCTTACATTAAAATCTCACCCTTAATATTGTCCTTATAGAACTTATTGCTTTCTTCCACTGTGCTGAAGCCAGCATACTGGCGGATGGTCCAGGGCCTAAAGGTATACATGGTAGGATATGGTCCGCGTGTGAATGGCTTCACTCCTGGAAGTTCTTCAGGTAAGTCCTTAGTATCTCTCTTGGAATACAAGGGTTTTATAGCAATCCCTTCTGGGGTGTGCCATATTAGGTCTTCTGGGTTTTTGCCTTTCAGCTGCTTTTTAGCAAGGGCAGCCCATTCTGGGTGAAGGGGCTGTTGCTGGTGTAGAAGTCGTTTCCATATGAGCCTGGAGACTGATGATTCTTTTACTTGCTTCAGGTAATGAGGTGAAAGTAAAAAAAGCTGATTCTTAGCTCTTAACATGGTGGAGCATGGAAACATCCAACAGAAGCAAGAGCTGACCTAGAAAAAGAAACACAGTGTATAAACATTTAGAAGAGGGAGAGAAAATAGGAGCCACTGATTAGAATGAAACCGAAAAGGAAAAGGATGTATTAGTCTGATTTCATTTCTTCCCCTTTTCTGCTTCCTGCACCTGATATTTTATAACTTTGGCCCCTCTTCTCAGCAATTACTATCAGTGCTCTAGTTACGGTCTTTTTCCTCAGTAGCCTCTTAACTGGTCTTACTGTCCAATCTTCGTCCCCTTCTACTCCATTTTATACAAATCCATTCTATACAATGGCATCAATGTAAATATGACTATGTCACACTCCCCATGAAATTTTTCAAAGCCTCTGTATCATGTGGAAGATATACTATAGCCCCCTAATTTTTTCATTCAAAATGCTTTTATTAAATATCAGTTTATGACAGATATTACGTTGGGTAATGGAAAAAAAAGTAGTGAATAAGACAAACAGGCATTCAAGGCCTTCATGAACTGGTCTGTTTCCCCCTCAGACTCATCTCTGCCTTTGTCCTCTTTATGCATTTTTGTGCACTAGAAACACTGGATTAGCTACAGTCTGTTGTGCATATGTCAAAGTTTTGTGAATTTGCTCTTGCTCTTCCTTCTGCCTAAAATGTTCTTCTCCGGCTAATTCAGCTATTATCTCCAATAATAATGCTCAAAGGCATTATCTCCAATTTGCAGTGTTTCTATGTGCCAGTAACATAGAAGGCTATAAAGACATCAAATAGAGAAGCAATTTTAATCCTTACAATACCCCTAAGAGATAGGTACTATTATTAGCCACATTTTACAGATTAGGAAACTGAGGCACAGAGGAGACAGCATTGATTGGAACCTATGCAGCCTGTTTCAAAAATCTTTACATCTAACTAATATGCTCACAACTCATCCCAGAACTCATAAGGTGAACTAAATGGCCTCTTCAGTAATCTACTTCTATACTAGTTTATAAATTGCTCCAACATTAAAACTGTATATTCCTGATATCTAGCATAGAGTCTTACACTAGGTGACTGGGTTCAATGTCAATATTTTGCAGTTGTAGAAACTGAGGATCAGAGAAATAAAGTTGCTTGATCAAAATCCCACCCCCACAAAGCAGTTAACTGTTCACCTGAATTAATAAAACTTGTCAGTCACACAGCCTAAACATATAAAGACTATTGTTTAAAAAGATATTGAGATACAAACATTAATATATAAACTCTACTATGTGTTTTTTATACCAGATAAGGCAACAAGTAAAGTGAGTTTCAAATTCTGTTTTCCATACCACTTCTTATCAGTTTAGTAAAGCTTAAATGAAATAAATGACACTTATGTGGGGTTGTTAAACAAGAGACATAAACCACTGGTGAGAATATTAACTATTTTAACTACTTTGGAAAGTAAACTGTCAATTTATATGAAATGCTTCAGAAATGTTTGTGCCATTCCACTGAGGAACATTACTTCTGGGAAAGATTCTGTAGTAATACATAAAATAGATGTTCTCTATAGTTTTATTTGTAATAGAGAGAACTTAAGAAAATAGTGTCTAATAATATATGAATAAATGAATTACAGCATATACAAATGATATAATTTATGTAGCTATTAAAATATCTTTAGAAAGCTGGCAAAACTAATCTTTGATGTCAGAATGGTTGCTTATGGTTGCTAGAAAACAACAGGAGCAAGAGGGGAACTTTTGGGGGTAATGGTCTTGATCTGATTGCCACTTACACAGATATATTCTGTTTGTGGACATTTATCAAATTGTACAGTTATGTTTTATGCAGTTTCTGTAAATATGCATAAGTAAAAAGTTAAAAATGTGTTATGCATAGTTTCCCCCAAAAAATGGAAACAAACTCAGAAAGTAGTAACTGAAAGACTCAAGACACATAATTATAAATACAACAGGTTCAACTATGTAAAAAGTTCATGGAACAGAGTCTAACTGGAAATGTAACAAAAAAGAGGCTGTGTGCAGTGACTCACGCCTGTAACCCCAGCACTTTGGGAGGCCAAAGTGGGTGGATCACTTGAGGTCAGGAGTTTCAGACCAGCCTAGCCAACATGGTAAAACCTATCTCTTCTAAAAATACAAAAGTTAGCCAGGCGCAGTGGTGCGCCTGTAATCCCAGCTACTCAGCAGGCTGAGGTACAAGAATCGCTGGAACCCGGGAGGCCGGGGTTGCACTGAGCAGAGATCATGCCACTGCACTCCAGCCTGGGTGAGAGAGCGAAACTCCATCTGAAAAAAAAGAAAAAAAAATCTTCTATTTTTTAAATATTAGCACAATTTTTATTCTGTTAAATCCATGAGGTCCTTGTCATCCATCTTTTTACAAGCCATCCACTATATTTACTAGCTTAAAAATTGGATGAGAAAAATAATGAAGCTACAACTAAATCATTTCAATAGTAATCCTGTAAAAGGTAATTTGAAAACCACCTGAGAATTATTGGCAGGAAATATCACACCCATTTCACGTTGGCTTTCCTAAATCTGAACAACTAATAGGAAAAAGCCCCTTATAAGAGACTTCCTGAAAAATCACATGTGAATTGGTGGGAGGCTGGAAATAGACACCATTTTTAGATAAAAACACAACTACTGTGGATGGCAATATGACCTCTCAATTTTCTCAGAAGACCATCAAGAGAGGCCTCAAGCATTCAAAGAAGCAACATGCAAAGCAAATATGTTACTGACAACTAAAATGTGTTAAAGAGCAACGATGAATCCCATTCCTACACCTCAAAAACAAATCAGTGAGAAAAAAATTCTGAACCAACAACTTTCAAGCTTTGTCTGTGGACATGTGATACCACATTAGTATATCAAAAAAGGTACTTCAGTGTTCAATCAGTTGGGTTAGGAGATGGAAACATAGGGCATGAAAATTATATTTGCGTAAGTAAATCATTAAACACAAAATTATACGGGGAAAAAATCAAGTGGTTTAAAACTTTACACACAATCGCTATCCAGGGCTTCGAGTTTCCCTAAGACCACCTTCTTTCTAGACAAAACTGAGAACGAGTTAGTAATTTAAGCTTTTATGTCAATTTAGACTTGTCTTTTCTGTTCTCTCACCCTTGACCCGTTTACACACAGAAAATCACTTATAGTTCTGCCAACTTTTACAAAAACCCTGACAATAACATAACCCACAACCTAGAAGGGAGGCAGCCATGGAGCAAGCTCATCCCTCTGAAATCGTACAAAAAGTGACCTCTGCCAACGGGAACACTTCGGGGTGCTTAGGTGGCCAGAGAAGGTAACAATATGGCCCCTGAAGTATTACAAGCACCTTCTTTTCAGCGGTACCGCCAATTGCGAAGGACCTCGCCTAAAACGAGAGGCTGGCTCGAAGGTGAAAATCTAAACCTAAGGAGAAGGCACTGAGTGGGATCCCGCCACAGTAGAAAGGTAAAGAAGACAGAAGGACAGAGTGGGAGAGAAAGGACAAAAGTATAGGGGTAGAGGAGAGACTGGAGCCAGAAGAATGAGCGATCCGAAAGGTGTACGGCCTACTCACTGGTAGGCCTGTTTCTGACTCCGCTGTGGGAGGGGGCGGCTGGACTTCTGCGTCCCCCGCCTTACCTGTCAGAGATCCACACAACCAGGCCTCCCCGCCCTCACCCAGCCCACACACAAAGCGCAATCGCTAGCGCCAGCCTGACGACTCTGGGGCGTGGGCCGACACCGCCCACCCCCCCTCAGCCAATCGAATCGGGCTCTGACGGGCGCGTTCCTGATGACGTTTAGGGGTAGGGTTAGATGCCTATTTCCGCTTTCTTCCCGCCCACTTCCGGGTCTCTTCGGTTTATGAATTTGGGGCGCGAATTACTCCAAGCGCTGCTTCCATAAGGGTGCAAGAAGTTTCCATGGTGAGTCGCGAAATCCTTAACCGGCTAGGTGGGTCTAAAGTTGGGGAATGAGTTTTGAAGCAACGCGTTTGTGGCAGACTCCGCGGTTTGTATTTGAGGAGCGCGAGCGGGGATTGCTCACGGGGAAATGTCCGATGTCCTAAAAGGTCTGCGGTTAGGATCCTCAGATTGAAATATTTGTTAGGGAGGAGGGAGCAAAGCCATGAATACTTCCTCCCTATTTCGCCTGAATCATTCTCATGCTCATTCTTACTGCTGAGTCTCTCCCGCAGGTACTAAGTGCAGCCTTGGACATTAGTGTCTCTGTTTTGCCAGGCATCGTACTCGTTCTTGTTCCCACATAGAGATTTAAATTGAGAAAATTGAGTCCCATGAGTATCAGCAAGCTGGTAAAGAAAACAAGACAATCTAGAATGCCTCTCTCTCTCCTAAAGCATATAGTCTGGCGGCAAACTACTGTACCAGCCTTACTTCTTTTCACTCCGATACACATTAAAAGCCTCGCTGAACCTTTTCTGTCCCTGAACACGCCAGTTGTTGTTGTTTTCTTTTGCTTTCGAGCTGTCCTGCTGACCGAGTTTTACTGTTTTCCCTTGGATACTTCATTTTCCTACTTTTTTGGCTAAATATTTCAAAATGTCACTAAAATAATACTTTTTTCTATGAATAATATACAGACATACCTCTGAGATACTGTGGGGTCGGTTCCAGACCCCCACAATAAAGTTAATACTGCAATAAAGCCTGTCACACTCATTTTTTTGTTTCCCGGTGCATATAACAGTTGTATTGACACTGTATTGTAACAGTGTATAACAGTTGTATTTACACTATATTGTAACCTGTTAAGTGTACAGTAGCATTATGTGGAAAAAAATACTGTGCATACTTTAATTTTAAAATGTTTTATTCCTGAAAAAATGCTAACAATTGTCTCAGCCTTCATCAAGTCCTAATCTTTTTGCTAGTTGGAGGGTCTTGTTTGATGTTGATTGTCGTTGACCAATCAGGGTGATGGTTGCTGAAGACCGGAGTTGCTGTGGCAGTTTCTTAAAATAAGAAAATAATGTCCTGATGAATCTACAAGAAAATCAAAAGAAAAAAAAGTAAAAAAAGAAGGGCATTTGCACATTAGTTGACTCTTACATTCACTGAAGATTCTCTGTAGCATGCGACGCTGTTTGAAAGCATTTTACACACTGCAGAACTTTTTTCAAAACTAGAGTAAATCCTCTTAACCCCTACCATTGCTTGAAAAACTTAAGTTTATGTGATATTCTAAATTATTTGTTGACATTTCAACAATATTCACAGCATCTTCACCAGGAGTAGATTCCATCTCAAGAACTTTGCTTGTTTTTAAGAAGCAACTTCTTATCCACTCGTTTTATCATGAGATTGCAGCAATTCAGATACCTCTTCAGGCTCCACTATTTATTTTGCTATTTCTGCCAGATCTCCTGTCACTTCCTTCACTGAAGTCTTGAACCCCTGAAAGTCATGAGAGTTGGAATCAACTTTTCCCAAACTCCTGTTGATGTTGACACTTTGACCTCCTCCCATGTATCATGAATGTTCTTACTAGCATTTGGGATGGTGAATCATTTCCAGAAGTTTAATTTATTTTGCTCAGATCCATCAGAGGAATCACTATCTAGGGCAGCTATAACTTTACAAAATGTATTTCTTAAATAATAAGACTTGAAAGTCAAAATTATTCTTTGATTCATGTGCTACAGAATGGAGATAGTGTTAGCAGACATGGAAACAGCATTAAACTCCTTGTACATCTCTATCAGAGCTCTTGGGTGGCCAAGTACATGGTCAGTGAGCAGTAATATTTTAAAAGAAATCCTTTTTTAATGAGCCATACATCTCAAAGATGGGCTTAAACTCCTCAGTAAACTACCCTGTAAACAAACATACTGTCACCCAGGCTTTGTTCTCCCATTTCCAGAGCACAGACAGAGTAGATTTAAGAGAATTAAGGGCCCTAGGATTTTTCAGAATGGTCAATGAGCATTGACTTCAAGTCAACAACCCCATTAGCCCCTAACAAGAGAGTCAGCTTCAAAAGACAACTTTTGAAGCTTTGAAGCTAAGCAGTGACTTCTTTCTAGCTATGCAAGTCCTAGACAGCATCTTCCAATAGAAGGCTGTCTTCTTTAAAAATCTGTTGTTTAGTGTAGCCACCTTCATCAATTATCTTACCTAGAAGTGGATAACTTGCTGCAGCTTCTGCATCAGCACTTGCTGCTTCACTTTGTACTTTCATGTTATGGAGGTGGCTTATTTCCTTAAACCTCAGGAACCAAGCTCTGCTGTCTTCAAGCTCTTCTGCTGCAACTTTCTCACCTCTCTCAGTGTTCATAGAATTGAAGTGAGTTACGACCTTTCCATGGATTCATCTTTGGTTTAAGGAAATGTGGTTAGTTTGATCTTCAATCCCAGACCACTCAAACTTTCTTCCTGTCAGTAATAAGGCTGTTTTGCTTTTTTTTTTTTTTAAATCATTTATGTCTTCACTAGAATAGCACTTTAAATTTCCTTCAAGAACTTTTCCTTTGCATTCACAACTTGGCTAACTGGCCCAGCTTTCAGCCTGTCTTCGTTTTTGACATGCTTACCTCACTGTGCTTAATCATGTCTATCTTTTAACTTAAAGTGAGAGATAATGTGATTTTTCCTTTCACTTGAACACTTAGAGGCCGTTGTGGGATTATTAATTGGCTTAATTTCAATATTGTTGTGTCTCAAGGAACAGGGAGGCCTAAGGAGAGGGAGAGAGGCAGGGAACAGGCAGTTGGTGGAGCAATCAGAACACACACAACATTTACTTTTAAGTTCTCTGATTTTGGTATGGTTTATAGTGCCCCAAAACAATTACATTAGTAAAATTAATCACCATAATAGATATAATAATGAAAAGGTTTGAAATACTGTGAGAATTATGAAAATATGACACAAACATGAAGTGAGCACAATCTGTTGGAAAAATCGCATCAATATAGTTGCTCAATGCAGGCTTGCCACAAACCTTTAATTTGTAAGACAACAACAAAATTCAGTGCCTGTGAGGCCTAATCAAGTGAAACACAATAAAGAGTTATACCTGTACATTTCCACCCATATGCATAAACCAGTTTAAGATAGTCATTCGATAACTTGTCTCTTTTATAACATTTATAAATATAGCACATATGGTAATTATTTTCATGTCTGTCCCTACCTATGCACTATCACTAAGCAATGATTTCCCTTGGATCTAAGAATGGGACAAAATATCTATTCTACTTGCACTGCAAGTAGCCCAGAAGTGTTAGAAACGATGTCTTTATTGAATTCTTACTATGTCTCAAATATTGTTCTAGGTGGTTTATATATTCTTTGTTAAATCATTTTTGCTTTACAAAAGCCTTTAATGTTATTACTTTTATTAATGATTTTACTAATGGAGAAACTCTGCTAATTTACTTATCTAAAGATATACAGTTAATTAAGTGCCAGGGCTAAATTTGGAGCTTGGACAATTCACTTTCTTTTTTCTTTTTTTTTGAGACGAAGTCTCGCTCTGTCACCAGGCTGGAGTGCAGCGGTGCAATCAGGGCTCACTGCAACCTCTGCAACCCTGGTTCAAGTGATTCTTCCGCCTCAGGCTCCTGAGTAGCTGGGACTACATGCGCGCACCACCATGCCCAGCTAATTTTTTTGTATTTTTAGTAGAGATGGGGTTTCACCATGTGGGCCAGGATGGTCTCGATCTCTTGATCTTGTGATCCACCCACCTCAGCCTCCCAAAGTGCTGGGATTACAGGCATGAGCCGCTATGCCAGCGGAACAATTTACTTTCATCGCAGAACTGCTCATAACCATGTGTTAGTGTTCTCAGTCTGGGTTGATTTCACCAGGGGACATTTTGCAATGTCTGGAAACAATTTTGGTTGGCTCTCCTCAGGGGTTGGAGGGATTCTAGCATCTGGCAGTCTACGTAGACCCACGTATGCTGCTAAACGTCCTACGGTACACGGCACAGACTCTATAACAAAGAATGACACCATTTAACATGTAAATAGTGCTGAGGTTGAGAAACTTGGCACTATGGTAGTGCCTCAAGCAAGTGTCAGTGTTAACAGTACTTCTCAAACTGTGGTGAAAGACCAGTTTTGCTTTTTATTTCTAATAAGTCATAACTGATACTTGTGTAAAATGCAATTAAAAATGAATTATTAGTCAAACCTCCCTGTGGTATAATGCCAGGAGAGAACTCTGGTAAACAGTGGATATTGAGTAATACGATGTGTCAACAATTACAGCAAATGCACCACTTTGGTGTGTGATGTTGATAGTAGAGGTTGTCAGGGGTGGGGGAGGGCAGGGATTATATAAGAACTTTGTTTGTTTTGCTCAATTTTCTGTAAATCTAAAACTGTTCTGAAAAGGTTTATTTTTTTAAAAAAATACTAATTAATAGAAAAGTGATATGGCAAAGATAAGACTAATTATTTTATAATTAGGTTCAATGTGCATAAAGTCACTCTGCCAAATTGCTATAAAGTTTTTAAATGATTACCTTCAGTTTCCACTATTGAAAGGATTATGGCAAACAGTTTGAATGAGATTTGGAGTAGCACTAAATTACATGTTATTTAATAAAGAATATCAAGAAGAAAGTGATTAGTGGAATCAAATGATAAATAAATGCCCAGTGAGACAGACCATGAAAGTCTATAGACTGAGAAATGAAGTAGAATAGTTAAGACTTTGAGAAGGAGATACCTCGTGATCTGAGAGGGTGGGCAGAGACAGGAGAGAGCTGCTCAGGTAGAAGGTATGT